GTGACGTGAGTGCCAAGTCGCGAGTGCGACGACTGTTTGTTTGATGACAAGAGATATTTCGTCTTGCCCTCGTTCACTGCCAGACCCATTTGCTTCGCCTTCTTGTCCAGTCTGGAGAAAGCAGAACTGACGGCGCGGGTGTTGAGGCCGATGATATCAATATCATCGGCATACGCCAGCAACTGTACACTYTTACAGAAGATGGTACCTTCTCTATTTAGCTCGGCACCTCGAACTATTTTCCCCAGAAGCAGGTGGAAGAAGYCACACGATAGGGAATCGCCTTGTCTGAAACATCGTTTGGTATCGAACGGCTCGGAGAGGTCCTTCCCGATTCTGACGGAGCTTTTTATGTTGCTCAACGTCAGCTTGCACAGCCGTATTAGTTTTGCGAGGATACCAAATGGTGGTGTGTGTCGATTCTCCTTTCACGGRTMTTTTCCAAGAATTTGCGCATGGTGAATATCTGGWCGGTTGTTGATTTGCCAGGTCTAAAGCCAATAAGGTCCAATCAGTTTGTTGACGGTGGGCGTTAATCTTTCACACAATACGATAGAACCTTATATGCGATGTTGAGGAGGCTAATCCCACGGTAGTTGGCGCAGATTAGGGGACAGAAGGACAGAGTAGTTATCAATAAGCAAAATAGTCTTCGGTTGCAAATTGTTTTCTTGAGAAAAGTGAATAACCATTTAATTCCACAAAATATTTAATAAGAACTGAACTTTATTTTTCATAATTCTTTATCAGAAATCTTGTGAAAATAATAATTATGTAATCCAGCAGTGTTTGTTCCAGGTAAGATTGGAAATTGTTCCTTCTGAATTTTGTATCTAAGCTCCCGATTTTCGATAAAAAACAGGCGTATTTTTACAGTTATAGTTACATTTATACAGTTACAGTACAGTTCAACTAGCCAAAAATGCGCATACATTAGTGCGACGACGAATAGCAAATGACATAAATAATTTGGATATACACCAGTTTTACGATTTATTTTGCACAGACAATATAATAGTTTAGTTCCCGAACTGAATTCAAATTTTSAATTCTGATTCTAATTTATGGAAATTCTAATCACTAAGGGTTTCTGATTTCTGATCGTCCACTGTATTGCTAATATATTTTTATACTCTCGCAACAAAGTTGCTAAAGATAGTATTATAGTTTTGTTCACATAACGGTTGTTTGTAAGTCCTAAAACTAAAAGAGTCAGATATAGGGTTATATATACCAAAGTGATCAGGGTGAC